TGCACTCGACGAGTTGGGTCAACATGGACTGTTGACCTTGACTGTTGACTTTGACTTTGACCATAGTGGACCAAGTTGGACTTCTGAGGGTATTTTGGTAATTTGGGATTTTAATAGAATTAGTCGTATGGTGGTTACAGGTAGTTGAGTTCGGAGTTTTGAGTTCGAATTCAATTTTATCAGTTCAATACTACTTGTGAGGTGAGTTTTCCTCACTATACTAACCGGGTCGAAGGCACCAATACCGACCCTTTTGGATTGTTATCCTGGTTATCGCATGATGATATGTTTATTGATCTGTTAGATTTGTATTTTGGTATATAGGATGATGTTATGCATAGCGATCTGTTAGATATGTATCCTGGTATATAGGATGATGTTATGATTATTGATCTATTAGATCCATATGACTGTCTATACTTGCTAGCTAGCGTTTGATGTGTATGTATTGATTATGTGTTTGTGGGTGGGTTGTGGAGGTCCTTCTTTGTGCTCTAGGCCAACAGACCTAGGGTGAACTGGATAGAGTGAAGGCCCAATAAGGGGTACCAGTCAGGCCGAAGGCCCGAAGAATGGTCTAGACATGTTGAAGGCCCGGTAGGGCAGACCAGACATGCTGAAGGTTCTAAGAGTGGGCCGGACAGACTAAAGGCCTGGTGGGGGTGGTCCAGTCATACTGAAGACTCTATATATGCATGCTATTTGTTATGATATTGTTCTGGTTGGTATGACGTTGGTGTTTTCAGGGAACTCACTAAGCTTCGGGCTTATAGTTTTGGATTTTGTTTTAGGTACTTCGAATGATCGCGGGAAGACGAAGGCTTGATCGTGCACCTCCTCACATTTTATGATTTGATTTCTAGGATTCTCTGATATGAAACTATTTTAAAAACATTTTGTAACAATTAATGCCTTTTAGAGGTGTGAAATTTTTTTTAATTTTTTTTGAATTTTATGGACGTTACATGGACCAATTTTATAATTAATACATAGGGACCAATTATGTGAATTTTGAAAAATGAAAAAGCACAAGGGTTGTTTATATCATATTTGCAAACCAAAAAACAGGGACCATTTATGTCATTTATCCACACTATTACAAAGGGACCATTCATTTAATTATACAAAGTAAAACATAGGGACCATTTTATAATTAATACACAGGGACCAATTCTATGAATTTTGAAAAATAAAAAAGCACAAGGGTTGTTTCTATCATATTTGTAAACCAAAAAGCAGGGTGAAACATCCCAAAATACGACCCAAAAATTTTTGTTTAAAATTACTAAAAGTACTAAAATAACATTACAAAATAAAACCCATACGTCAATGTTTCAAAACAGTAACTAATAGTTATGTAGAACTGTATCAATCACATTTATGAAAAACTAAAACATCTCCCAAGACTGCTGAAACTGTGGTGTATGTGATGCCATCAACCCGAGCTCTTCCCTTTACTTGCGGAAGTACCTGAAACCAAAAATGAAACTGTAAGCACGAAGCTTAGTGAGCTCCCCCAAACTACCACATACCATACAATACATAAAACACATACTAGGCCTTGCCCACTGCATCAGACCGAAGTCCGGAAACTGCATCGGACCGAAGTCCGGAACTAGCCAGGGCCTTGCCCTCTGCATCGGACCGAAGTCCGGAACTAACTGCATCGGACCGAAGTCCGGAATTGACTGCATCGGACCGAAGTCCGGAACTACTGATCATAGCATAGCATCAACATATCAACTAGCATGAACACATAAATAGCATACTGCATCGGGTTGTAACCCGGAACATATAACACATAATCCTGTCTGAGCCACGAAGGCTTCAAACATAATAAAATATGCATAGGACTGAAGTCCGGAAACTACTACTAGCTATACGGGCCGACATTGTGGCCTTAGACCCGTTCCTATTGGAAGGAAACTCACCTCGTGATCTGGCTGATGAGTGTATGGGTCTGGAAGCTATATGCTGCTGCTTCGGTATCTCCCCGGCTACAATTCCACAAATACACTCAATCAAAATACTAATAACTTCATTGGGGTAAAATGACTCTTTTACCCCTGGCTAAGTCAACTCTCCTGGTCAAGGTCAACTCTTCTGGTCAAAGTCAACTCACAGTTGACCTGACTCGCTGAGTTGGGCCGCCAACTCGCCGAGTCCCTACTCTCATTTCTTAACCTTGCATGCTGCTACTCGTCGAGTATGGCTTTAACTCGACGAGTTCTCATTTGATTCAAAAACTCAGACTATCTGCATCCGACATGCCGAGTTGTATGAACAACTCGACGAGTTGTTCTTGAAATTATGAAGATTGGCTTAGACTCGCCGAGTTGTATGAACAACTCGACGAGTCCTTCCATTACTGAGTCTAACCTCCAACTCACTGAGTCCATTCCACTACTCACTGGTCTCCACTCGGAATCACTAAAAGGGGAAGGATCGGGGACTCGCGACTTGACTCGCCGAGTCCGAAGAACGACTCGCCGAGTCACATGCAGGCAATTACTAAAAACTCAATTATGTTCAAAACCACTGTATACAATACATAGATCTGAGTTCCTAAGGATGGTTTACCACGTAAAGTTCCCAACTTTACGTGTACAAATGCATAAAAAGGATATAAAGGCTAAAAAGGCACTTGGAGGAGTAGATCTAGGGCTATCATGCAAAATGGCTTGATAAAGTTGATAGATCTACGTTTTTGGGACTGAAACATGGCTAGATCCGAAAGCTAATCCATCCAATATGATTTATCTACTAAGAACAAGCTAAAGAATTGGCTAAATATGCTCATAAAGGAGAATCAATCATTAAAACTAGAAGAAACTGAATATTACCTCAAGATACTCTGAAATAGGTGCAAAAACTTGGATCTCCTTCTTCTCCTTTGGATCTAGCCTCCTTCTTCTCTTCAAAACTTCAAGATTTAAACAAGAAAAGCTCAAATACTCAATGGAATGGTTAGGGTTTACCAAATAATGCTTTGAGGGTGAAGGAGACGAGTTTGGGGGATCATACGGTGGTTTAAATAGGGTGCAAACCCGGGGATTTAGGGTTTTTACCTGGCTGGCCGACTCGCCGAGTCCCGAATATGGACTCGCCGAGTCGCCGATCTATACGCTGCCCAAGATCACGACTCTACTCGACGAGTTGGGCCATAGACTCGTCGAGTCCCTCTACAAACTTCTAAAATAAATAATATAAAGCAACATACCAGAGACGGGTCATTACACAGGGACCATTTCTCTCATTTGTCCACACTATTACACAGGGACCATTCCTTTAATTCTACAAAGTAAAACATAGGGACCATTTCTATACATTTTGAAAAATAAAAAACACAGTGCTTAATAAGACAGTGCAATCATGTAAAACAATGAACAATTGTAAATCTTATGGTTGAATATACTTGTGTGCTATAGCCTATAAGTCTATAACATCTTACTTTCTTTCTTTTTTCTATTACAACATTGTACTTTCAGTTGTTTCTTGTTAAGGCATCGTAGTTTGATTCTTTAAAAATATGTACCCAATAATACCAATCTTAACCAAATACAAAGCAAACTTTTATTAGAAGAAATGAGAGTATGATGCTATAATAAACAAAGTAAAAAAGTATATTGCTATTTCTTGCATGTTAAAGAAACTAAACTTCACCAGTGTTTTAATGTTTTACTAAAACTAAATTTAATAGAAGATTAAAACATGGTTAAATAAAGAATTTGTTTTACTAAAATCATCATTTTG